CCCCCCCACCTATCCCACCGTCGTCACCTCATGACCCTGACCAGTTTCTCCCAGGTCTTGAGGTCCAGCCAGGAGGTCTGCAGTATCCGGTCGTCCGGCGCCACCTTGGAAAAGTACGAGAAGACCACGCCACGGCAGATGAGGGCATGGTCCATCCGCGAGCGGAGATGCGACAGGAGGGGCAGCGGCATGATGCCTTCCCTGTGCAGGTCCCTCCCCGTGTTGAGTATCGACGCCTTGGACTCCATCCGGCAGTGGCTGTCAGCCAGGTACTTCATGTAGTCAGGCTCCACCACACACCGGGCATGAGATGGCTCCCCGCCCGTCTGCGCCGCAGATGCCGTCCCGTTCATCCCGCCCTTGACGTCCTCCTCCCTCAGGTACGTGCACTTGGGCACCGCCTCGCACTTGTTGGACTGGCTGTCGTAGTCCATGCAGAGGCTCGTCCGCATGATCAGCACGTCCTCAGGCGACATCCTTGACTCCTCCTCCTCGCGCAAGCTCCACGCTTCAGCGTCGGTGTCAGTGCCGGAGGGCTCGAGGGCATCCGTCGACTCGGCTGCGGTGTGCAGCGCCATGATCATTCTCAGTAGCAGGAAGAGGGGCAGCAGGCTGCTCAACGGCAGACGGCGCATGGCTGTGCGTTGAGGGGAAGGGAAGGGGGAATGGAATGCGGCACCAGCAGAACGGAGTTGTCGATGGATGGCAGATCTTGCTTGCTTTCCTCACGAGTGCTTCCACGTCGTCAATAGCGCACAGCAGGGCGTTGAAAGAAGCTCAAACCGCCTGCTTTCCTTATCCTTTTTTGGGGGAAGTGCGCAGCTAAGCTCGCATTCTCCTTCGGTCTGAGCAGAGCACAAGAAAACCAACTACAGCCTCATCAGAAGCTTGCAGACAGGCGCGAGGAGAAAGAGATGAGAGCCCTTTTCCTGACTAGCCTGCTGCTCTACAACTCAGCGGACGCATTCCTGCCGCAGCCTGCACTAAAACGTCCCAGTTTGCCTGCCAGATCTGGCCCTGCATCATCTCCCACTCTTCATCGCGCGGGTGCATCATCTCCCACAAGGGTCAGCGCTCGCCCACAGCCCTCTGCAGCAGCTGCGCCACCGGCAACAACAGACACCAAGACTCTCATCCGCACCGGCATCTGTTTCGCCGTGTGGGCCGCATTCCTCGCTGTCGGCCTGTTCCTTGGCCCTAATGAGGCGCCAGACAAGAATGCAGAGCTCATCAAGGGCCTCATCGCCTCGCCACTCGACCCCCCCGTCAACCGACTCATCGCGGCGTACTTCAACTCTTTGGGCGTGGTTCCCTTGATCTACGCGTCGGTGCTGGTGCCCGGCTCCCGAGACCAACCTGTCCCATCGTGGCTGCCGGTGCGCCTTCCGGCATTCCTCGAGCGGGCCGGCACGAGCCTGGTCCCCTACTTCCTTCTCAGCGAGTTCCTGGGCTATGGCGGCATCGGGCCATATGTGGCAATAAGAGAGTACAGGTGAGGTGTGTATGCAGGCGAGGCGACACATGAAAACATCGATGAAAAAGAAAGAAAAAACTGGGGTGTATGGCGTTTCCAATCAGGTCCTCGGTGGGTCGTTCGTCTCTCGGCTGGTTCGGGAGGCTGCTTGAGTTCAAGGGCACCAGCGCCGCCATCTTGGCGGCGTCGGTGTGGCTGGTGGTGAGCGGCGTCGGTGGGGGACTCGGCGGGCTGCTGTCAGGCGAGGGGCTGCAGACCCTCCCGGCACTCTGGCAGGATTACAAGGAGGCATTCTTCACGCAGCGACTTGTAAATGGTCAGTGATGACGCCTCACAATAACACCTGTATGTACTTCATCGATCGGATGTGTGCTGCAGCTTCATCGATCGACTTTGTGATCCTGTGGCTGGTGTTCCTGGACCCGCTCATCGAGGACATGAAGCGGCGTGGATGGGGCCCGTCGGTCGACGAGCAGTCCGGCAAAGAGGTGTGGAAGCCCTCCGATGTCTTGCGAGTGGGTGCCTTCTGGGCAGTTCCCCTCATTTCGCCATCGCTCTATCTGCTGCTGAGACCACCACTGCCAGACGGCACTGACGAATGAATCAACGAACGAATGAAGACGACGCCAGGATAATGGCTCGAAGAGCCTCCTTGGCTGTGCGTTTGTGCGCGTGTGCGTGTGCGCCAATGGCGGGATGACTGCCATGATGGCATCCATGAGGGTGGCTATTTGTCAGTGCATGCTGCTTGGATAGGGGAGGGGTCACTCAACGCACGCACACATCATTTCTCGGAGAGCGTGCGACACGTGTCGGTGGGTGGGTGATCGTACAGGACGTTGCCGAAAGACTGACTGACTCAGAGGGGGAGGGAGGGAGGGAGGGAGGGGGAGTCAGGGGGAACACACACAGAGAGGATGTGATGAATAGCGATGACCCGCAAAGCACTCGACTGACCCGCCCTGAGTCTGCATGCAGTCCTTGCCTGGCCTGGAACCGCCCGGCCTGGCGGCCGCGTTAGGGTTTCAGGGTTAAGGGTTTCACCCTCTCCTTCACGGGGTGAGAATAGCTGACGGGGCTCCTGTGCAAGAAGGGCAGCTACAGGCCAGGCACAGGCAGCGCGGCGGCCGACGTCCGTCATCTGTCCATCTGTCCACCCGACCGCCATGAGCGGCGAGGAGGGCCCGTGCGCCGACGTGGGCGTCGACCACATCTACGCATTCGACCCCCAGGACGTCAACGGCGAGTGGGAAGGATACTACATCGACTACCAGGGGTGAGTGGGCCGCCACTGAGGCACGCCACGCACAGAGAGATCCATTCATGCCTCATGTGTGTCGGGGCGGGGCGGGGCACCCGGGGCTGTGCGTCCTCTGTGGATCGGATGGATGGATGCGTGTGTGTGCAGGTTGCAGAAGCAGTTGCGTGCGACGATGCACGAGCTGGTGACGAGCGAGGCGGCCGGCAAGAAGAACCTTGAGGAGTTCTGCCAAAACCTGGGTGGGCAGGCAGGCAGACTCATTCACAGACGCACACGTACACACGAATGGAATAGCTGGGCCATGTTTGTCATGTTTGTCTGTCCAACCAGCCCGAGAGATCGACAAATGCGTCTGTTTCTACGGTGAATGGGTGCACACATGGATGGATGGATGGGTGTTTACGTGTGTGTGTGTGTGTGTCAGAGATGGAGCTCACGTGGACGACGAGTCGCCTGAACAGCCTGCGTGAGTACCAGAACTTCCTTAGCCCCAAAACCTACGCCAGCCAATGTAAACAAAAACACACACGCACACACACACACACACACACAGAGAGAGAGAAGGGGG